ACCATATGATTTGTATTTTCAAAAATTTTAATAACATTAGACTAAGGTAACAACAAAGCTAAGGCAGTCTGTATCACCCACAAGTGAGACAGAGAGAGAGAGAGAGAGAGAGAGAGAGAGAGAGAGAGAGACCTAACATCTATCCATTTAACCCCTCCTTATACCCAACTTTGATCCACCTTCTGCTCCTTCTTCCCCTCCTGCCTTCCTCCTCCTCCTCCTCTGAGACAGGCTCTTCTGTGTAGCCCAGGCCTGGAACTTGCTAAGAGGCCAAAACATACTTAGAGGTGCAACAGTCATCCTGACTCTCAAATGCTGGGATTACAGGGGCACATACTTGGCATATATGTGTGTATATATGAATGTAGGGGTGTTTGTGTGTGCGTGTGTGTGTGTGAGTGTGTATGTCTGCATGAGTGTGTATGTGCATGTATGTATGATGTGTGTGCATGTGTGCATGAGTGTGTATGTATGATGTGTGTGCATGAGTGTGTATGTATGTGTGTGCATGTGTGCATGAGTGTGTATGTATGATATGTGTGCATGTGTGTGTATGTATGATATGTGTGCATGAGTGTGTATGTATGATATATGTGCACGAGTGTGTATGTATGATATGTGTGCATGAGTGCATGAGTGTGTATGTATGATGTGTGTGCATGAGTGTGTATGTATGATGTATGTGCACGTGTGCATGAGTGTGTATGTATGATGTGTGTGCGTGTGTCTATGTGTGTGTATAGCATGAGTGCCCTTGGAGGACCCAGGAGTTGTATCTCTGAGCTGGAGTTAAGGGGTTGTGAGCTGCTTGATGGGTGCTGGGACGTGAACTCAGGTCCTCTGAAAGGGCAGCAAATTCTCTGAACCACTGAGCTCATCTTTCCAGGCCTGGCCTGGAACTGTTTTGATGTTTTACATTTATTTATCTTATTTCTGGGCATGAGTGCTTTGTCCACATACATATGCATGCGTCTGCACCTACAGATAGTTGTGAGCCTACATGTGGCTTTTTGAGAAACGAACCTGGGTCCTTTGCAAAAGCAGCCAGTGCTCCTAACCACTGAGCCACCTCTCCGGCCCTTTGTTTTGTTTTTGTTTTTTTGTTTTTTTGTTTTTTTGTTTTTTCAAGACAGGGTTTCTCTGTGTAACTTTGGAGCCTATCCTGGCACTTGCTCTGGAGACCAGGCTGGCCTCGAACTCACAGAGATCCACCTGCCTCTGCCTCCCGAGTGCTGGGATTAAAGGCGTGCGCCACCAACACCCGGCCTTGTTTTTTGTTTGTTTGTTTGTTTGTTTGTTTTTCTTTTTTCTCTCTCTTTTTTGAGACTGGGTCTCTCTACATAGCCCTGGCTGTCCTGGAGCTACCTACGTAAGCCAGACTGATCTTGAACTCCTGAGGTCCTCTTGCCTCTGCCTCCCAGGAGCTGGAATTAAAGGCGTGCGCCACCATGTCCAGCTACTGTATCTTTTTAAAAAATCGATGTATACATTCACAAATAACATCATTGTCACAGATTCATCACTGCGTTCTGGGATGATTTGTAAAGAAATGTACTAATTTCTATTTTATGTGTATGTGTGTTTTGCCTGTCTGTATGTCTGTATATCAGGTGCATGCATTGCCCACAGAGGTCAGAAGAGGGTGTCAGATACCCCAGAACTGGAGTTACAGATGCTTATAAACCATCATGTGGGTGCTGGGAATTTAACCAGGGTCCTCCGGAAGAGCAACCAGTGTTTTCAGCCACTGAACCCACATCTCCAGACTGCTCTTTAGTGCCCTCTCCCTGCTGAAGACCGACTGGCACTGAAATGGAATGGGTGAGGGTGGCCCTTCAGAGATCCTGCCCACACTCTGATAAAGGGATTTGTTACGTGATCCCAAACTTGAATGTTTTACAGGTTCATAAAAGGACCCCATCGTGTTGTGAGACACATGGTAAGGGGTTTAAAAAAGTGAAGGCATCCTTCAGAATTGGGAGGGAATACCTAGGAGCCCTAATTCTAGTCCTGGGGGTGGGGGGAAACTACCTCCCTATGAGTTGCTGGCCAAAGAGGCTTGTTGTAGAATATTATTTTAAGATGTGTGATATGTGTTTATGCTGCTGAATATTTTTTTTTTATCTTTTGCTGTTGAATATTTGTTTAATGATGCAAAGATGTGTGACATTCCTTTATGTTGCATTTGTTTAACTCCGTGAAGCTTTGTTACTGTGCCTGCCTAAAACACCTGATTGGTCTAATAAAGAGTTGAACAGCCAATAGTTGTAGAAATTTGAGACCTATCAGGTTAAAAAGGAAGTTTTCAAGAAAAATTGAATACAATTAATTTGAACACTGCTTGTGCTGTAGGATTATTACATTAGAAACTCAAGACATTTTTTTTTTAAAGGAAATATACACTAGCTTTTAGTAATTGTTATTTTTGTTTTGTTCTTTGAGACAGGGTTTTTTCTCTATGTAACAGCCTTGGCTGTCCTGGAACTGGCTCTGTAGGCCAGGCTGGCCTCGAACTCACATAGATCTTGCCTGCCTATCTCCCAAATGCTGGGGTTAAAGGTGTGGGCCACCGTGGCCAACTGGCTTAAAGTAAACAAGAAATTTGCAACTTAATATATTGGGCTTCAATTTTCAACTTGTGATCCCCACTAATCTTCAATTTGAGTCAAAAGTACCAATTATCTCTATTAGATGTTTTTTTTTTAACTGATGATTTTTTTCCTAAAGGGTTCTCCAAGGACATCTACACCATTTGGATCAGGGCGTGGTAGAGAAAAAAGAATGTCTAATGAGTTGGAAAGTTATTTTAAGCCTTCAATGCTTGAAGACCCTTGGGCTGGCCTAGAACCAGTGTCTGTAGTGGATATAAGCCAACAGTACAGCAATACGCAAACATTCACAGGCAAAAAAGGAAGATACTTTTCTTAACTTTTCTGAAATTCAACTGGAAACTTCATGTGTCAGGAACACCTTGGACAGAACTTGTACTTGTGTAAATGAGTTGAACCCAAAGATGATGACTTTG